CCCGCTTGGCTGTGTCCGTCCAGCTGCCAGGGCCCGTGTTGTTGTATTCGCCGAATGTGACTCCTGATGTCTGAGGGTTGCTTGTCTGCCATACAGTCCAACCAGCGCTAGAGATATGCTTGTCGATATACGAGTTCATGTAGATAGCGATAGAGAATTGGCTGTAAGGCCTGCCGAGGTAGGTCGTACCGAAGGTGTTGCCGTAGGTAGCACTGTATGTGATGACTGAAGAATCGAATACATATCCACCGGGGGCGTCTGCAGTGGCCCTGTATTGTGCTGAGATGAAAGCGCCAGGCGTGTTGCTAACGATCATGCACTGGTGGAAGTATGCGGTGGAGAACCCCCAAATGAAATCAACACTACCCTCAACATAGCAGTTGCTAAATACTTGCGTACCCTTATTAGCAAGTAGGGTATCCTGGAAACCAACAAAGGAACAACCATATGCAGCAATGTTCGCTCCGTAGAAGTCGGCAGCCAGTGCTGCGGTGTTGGAAGTTTGAGGGTAGGTGTTAACAAAGTCGATATTGTACAGAGCCATTCCCGAATCGCCGCTAGGCTTGGAGTATACGACGGGTGTTTGCTCGTTCTTGCCAGCACTGGTAAGCTCGCCCCTGGAGAACTCAACGCGGACCTGATTCTGTGTGTAGTCATTCGTGAAGTCGGTGAAGCCCCTCAAGGTGACCTTCCCCTTGCGAGTGATGGAAAGCTGCTCAACGTATGTACCTGCGCCAATCTTGATCGTATATGGGTTGCCGTCGTTGGGGAGGGCGCTGACAGCTGAGGTGACGTTCGAGAACTCGCATGGTCCGGGTGTCTTGGAGACTACCAGAGTCGGGGACGCGGCTGTGATTGTGCAAGAGGCTACTGGGGTAGCACTGGTCGCTGTGGAAGCAGTGATAGTAGCGTTCGAGATGGAGATGGAGCTGGCGGTACTGGCCTGCGAAGCCATCGATGAAGCTGATAGAGACACTGTGGAAGAAACAGTTGACGCAGCAGATGAAGCGGAAGCAAGCTGAGCATCATTCGATGCTTTCAATGATGCAACAACGTTCTGATCAATCCATGCAAGCGAAGAGCTAGCGTAAGGATAGAACGCATTTCCAAAGACCTTGTCGATGGTGAATTGAGACACCTGATCGGCCGAGAGAAGAACGTCGTAGCTAGGGCGAGCTGCGGCGTTCTTGCTATAAGAACCGGCACCGTTGGTGGCAAACTCGCCGTAGAAAGACGGAGTGGTAGCCGCTGAAGGGTGAAATCCAGCAGGGGCAATCAAACTTCCCATTGCTGTGTTCCGGTAGATAGCCACTGCACCTTCGGCGGCTGGGGCCGCCAAAAATACGTTGTTGTTGGTGTATCCTGTCTTCTGCTGTATCGAGCTCGAATCGAACACGACCGTGGAGTTCGTGAAGGTACCTCCGTTAGGGGTTCCACCCTTGCTGTACACGATAAGAGCGCTCGAGCTGAGAGGAACGATGGTGGACTTGTAGAGATAGATAGTCGGGTAGTTGTAGAAGAGATAATTCGAGCCCTCGATGTACGAATTGGCGAAGAAGGCCGTTCCGTAGGTAGCTGAGACTACGGTGCCACCAGGTGAGATGACAGAGCACCCATAGAAAGCAACATTGCTTCCTCTAAGCGAAACTGTCGCCGCATTGGTTCCTGGTCCCACAGCAGCTGAATTGACAATGTTGATGTTGCGGACGGTGACACCTTTGATCTTGTCCGTACCAATGCTGAATGGAACGGTAGTAGCAGCGATTATGACTTTGTTCTCAGACCAGTCATCTGCAGCCGTTGGAGAGGGACCGGCGATCGTAACAGTAGCCTGTCCGATGACCGTGACGGCTTCGGAGTAGGTTCCAGGAAGAACAGAGACAGTGGCGATGCCGCTATCTTGTGCAGCCTTTACGGCTACGTTGATGGCGGTATAATCTCCAGATCCATCGGTGGCGACAGTAATGACCGACTTGGGGCCTGTCAAGGTAGCCGAAGTAGTTGTAAGAGGTGTCGGCGATGTCGAAGAGCGACTCGCAATACTCAGAGTGGCATTAGAGGCACTACTCTGAGCAGCCGCAAGCCCGAGCAGGGCGGCAACAGCGAACGAGCGCATAGCGAATGACGATCAATCGACGAGGATGAGAAGCGAGCGATGGAAATCAGGAGTACATGATGTTAGATGATACTTAAGCTCGAAGATCCCCATCAAGGGTTCACGGGGCTCACACCGAATTGGGTATACTACGACAACGTGGTCTGGATCCCGATTACAATCTGACATCCCGTTAAACCCGCTTTCACGCTTGTCGCTCGACTCGTAGGTACATCTGACAGGGTAGATAGCCGGTGGGTCTCTTCAGAGATGCCAGGGGACAAAAGCCACAATCGATAGCTGGTGCCGTGTGAGATGCTCGCCGTGGCAATCCGTTTTGATCGAAAACCCATCGCTGATGAGATTCCGCTGTTGGGAAGATAGTCTTGTTCATCGATATTGACGGTGCCGGCTTTAGAGCCAAGCGGTACCTACTAACGGGCATAGGATGCAGGAACGAAAGTAAGATCCCAAAGAACTATGGCAGGCTAAGAGCGTTCCTGCATGGCGTTCACCTGGGTAGGAATAATCTTAGAAGCGTCGCCCGTTGCTTGACGAATTTCCATGCGTGTTAGCGCGACGTGGCTTACGCTCAGTGTCGGTCCGGCCAATTTCACCGCGCGAAAGAGCCACTAACCTGAACACTTTGAAGGCGAGACTCCAACATCGAGCCGCGGCGGTACTCATAAGTAAACAGAGTTGGTACCGAGAGGGCAGGTCTCATCCCGGCGTTGATCGACTAAGTGGTGTGTTGTACATACGATCCACCCATGCATCGGCAGTCTGGAGCTCTAAGGACCAGGGTGATGTGGATATGAAAATCTTTCTGGAGAAGGACCCTTGCACCTATGTTAGACCACGAGGGCGTTGCAAAAACCCAGCGTTTCCCAGATAAGCGTTCAGAGTCGACATTTTGGGGTTGGAAGGTCTATCCAGTGTTCTGGGCATCGGATCTGGTACCAGGTGGGACAAGCCCCATACTAGCGGCAAAAAGTGGCGCGTCGGAAAGCTTGGTAACTCAGTTCCTGGCGTTCGGTAGCTGCGATAACGCGTTTAGGAGGCGTTGTGATTCAGCTCGCTATTCGCAGTCCATCGGGCGAGAGAAAGGAGTTGTTCCTCCAATGACTCTGGTTGTTTCCGCGGCGCGAGGACTGTCGGGAAGCTGCGACGGACAGATCGTTGTCGCGATAACATCCACAAACGCTCATCTGCTAGGCTGCGGCTGAGATGGATGACAAAGGCCCGAATGACTTCGGGTACGCTTTACGGACGAACAAGTGCAGGCGCCTTCTGGTGTTCGAGCTCGAGTCCTGATGGCATCTGTTGGTGGACCGTTCATAGGGCTGGTAAGCATGACGTTGCGAATGCCGGCAGGCGCGGCTTCGTGCGACGCAAGACGCCGCTCACCCGTCCGCTGTCCATAATTTCGGGCTGCGACGCAAATTCCCAAAGGTTTGTTAGTCCAGGGGCATCATGCGATATAAATTGCTCCACGGGGCCAGGCATGGTGTCGTCTCACACTGAGGAAAAGAAAGGTAAAGGTTTGAAGGGAAGCCGCGTATTAACCGAGATAGCCCGGTCGTCCCCGAGATCGCATCCATGCAAAGCTGGTCCTTCCCGGAGCTGCTCTCTTTATCAACCCTTAGCTACTCCAAGCTCTGCTATTTCTTGGAAGTTGGATTCTCTCCCACGAACGCCTTCATAAGTTCCTGCTCGACCTGCTCATCAACAGTGGGTGGTGATGAAACGGCCGCCGTCCAACAGATCAATCCGCCACCACCAAACAAAGAGAATGCTACAAAACCCATCGCCCGCAGAGGCAGCGCACGTGGCGACGACCAGAACGTGGGAATCAGGTAGTAGGCTGTAATCATGAAGAAGATACTTATGCCAACTAAAGCATTGGTCAGCGCATGGTCGTAACTATGCCGACATGTGTAGAGCATACTTAGGAATGTGCGACTTTCACGAGGCAATGCACGTTGGTCTTTCTGGTTGAGGAGTCTGGTTTTGACTTCTCTATACACACACCATCCTTCCTCCGGGCCGAATATCTCGAGATACATCTTTGGAGGGTAGTCGCGCATTTCGCGTCCAGTGCCAAGCCTCCACTTGTCCGCTATGGCGTTTGCGTGTTCGCGAGAGAGTCCGCGCGAGACAGACAGAACCTCAGTCAAGAACTCGCGTATATCGGTCGGAAGAGCGTCAGGTTCTGGGATGATGGGCTGCGAAAGTGCGTAGATGGGTGCCTTTTCCTCGCGGTCACCGTGGTTTTCGAACGAGTTCGTTGACATGTTTTCTTAGCAGAAGGAGATAAGTACTCGCTCACTTCAGTTACGTTGAGAGAAGGAAATATAGGGATGGTGGTTCTAATTAACCACCTGAGCACAGCTGGATGATCGGCGTAGGTTCTTACGTCAAGGCAAGAACACAGCCCTGGACAAGGCTGACTTCTTGGCAATCCGAATCACGCGCAACCAGACATTTGTACTGAGCCATCCTATCCGTGTTCTCATCACTCCATCCTCGCTAGTTGAACCATGTTCAATGGTCTGCCTTGCACCAAAAACCTACACCGGAGGCTGACTAGGTACCTATAGACGTGTGCCCGTGGACCCTACCCTTCTTTGCCCGTCACGTGCATCTCAATAAGCGACCGGAGCCGGCACGTCGCCCAGCAAAGTCCGCTCGGCACGGCTGAGAACTCCCGAAAACCTTGGAAGCGACGCTCAATCGAGGCGATCACATATTGGATTGTTCGAGGGAATTACTGCTCAGGAAGGCCGCCGATAGCAATGAAGCATGGAAAGATCGCGCTGCAGACGAGCTGCATGGTAGGGAGCGGCAAAAGCGTAAGTTCGACCTCGTACGCTGGATTTCGGGCTTCGCCTTGCTGCGACAGCGCTCACTCAGGCGTTGTAGCCTGAGTTATTATGGGGACTTCTGCGACTTTGACGGTGTGCGTGTCGTCGAGTCCAAGCAGAGGCTGCGTGTTGGCAATACGCATGGTGGAAGACCATTGCTCTGCACGAACGCCTCTAAAAGCGTTCTCTGCTATCTGTTGCAGGCGCCATTGGACCTTTCCACATGCATTGTTAGCGATTCCATCCAGCAACAGAAAATGGCGCGATCGCTCTCGTCTTGCGACTTACACCATTCTCATCCTCGAACAAAGCCCCATGCTGGAAGTCTAAAGGCTTGCTGCGCGGGATGATGGGAACAGCTTTGTAGGAACCGAACTGCTGGTAGGCACCACCGACGCTAAGACACGCACCGCCATTGCCTTTTGCGACTGCGTTCTCGAGAGGATAGTTATCGCCCTTGTAGAAGGCGATTATGAGGTCTTCCTCTGCATCTCCCTGGGCAATGTAGACTGATTGGGCGTTGGTGCTGTATAGGCTGCCGTCCTGACAACCATCATCTGGCGTCAAGCCAACTGCTCCACCGAGACGTTCGCCTCGGCATTGGATGCCGGTATAGAATTGGACGTCGTGGCCTAGAGAGGGCACAATGAGGGTGAAGAGACAGGCTGCGATGGTAATGTGCATCTTGGTCGCAGTTCTTGCTGAAGAGATGGTAGATGTTTGGGCGGTGTGATCTTGTGCTTGATGTAGAGGGAAGATCTTTCTTTTATGTCTTCTACAACCAAAGGGGGCTCACAAATCCTTTTCCACTCGCAGCCTGCCTGCGTACCTGCGCCATCCCCACGCCGCCTCGTTTGTCACTCCCCTACCTAACCCCGGTCCACAACGTACAATATACCAAGATGTCATGTTCCGTCTTCCGAGAAGGAATATCTGGGTGCGTTTACAAGCCATACATCTCTTCGCGAGATAGGTAGGGAGGAAGGAAGGGCCAAGACGGGCGAGCGGCAAGTAGAGTTGACACCGCTTCGATTTCGCCGCATGTGGGGATCACGTCAAAGCTGCTTTAGAACTTTGTGACATGGAGAGTTGACGCGAGGGATCAGGATGTCAGGTCACTCCCGGATAAATCACGAGTTGCAAGATGATTTGAAATATCGTTTGAACACATAATGATTCGTTACTCATATCCTCATCCCTTCCCAGATAAACACCATGGGTATCTACAGAGTGTACCTGAAGCCCTCAAGGCCCTCAATAATCTTGCCTCCGTTGTTTGCGCGCTTGTTCGCCATCCAGAACTTCAAGTTGAGAAGCAAGGAGATGACAATAATCAAACCCGATGCAATCATGCAAGCAACGATACCAGGGACGTAGGAAGGTGCGTCCTGGGTACGGAAGACAGTGCCACCGATGATACCACCGATACCGCCGGCGCCGACGAGTGTAGCGCTGCAGAGAGCGCGCTTCCATTGGCCGCGGATGTTGTTGGCTTGCCATGTGAGGATGCAGGGGACGTTTGCGTTTGCAGCGGCGGTAGCGAGGAAGACGCCTGAGAGGGATTGTTAGTGCATGTACAGAGCTTGTAATGGGGATGAATGGCTTACCAAAGTATCGAACACCAACGTTGGTGCTGAAGCCAATCATGGGGAGACCGATGAGAGCGAGGACACCGTTGGCAATGACCCATGGGCTGCGGATGTGGTACTTGTCTCCTGCCCAGGCGAATCCAACCATGACGAAAGCGGCGAAGACGTAAGGAGGTGCGATGAGGCAGTTTGCTGCGGCGGGGCTGAAGCCCATACCGTCCTTTAGGATGATGGGCAGGAAGTAGGCGATGGCATAGGTAATGGTAGTTGTGAACATGAAGATGAGAGCGAAGCCCCAAACTTTGAGGTCCATGGCACCGGCGAGGTAGCTCTTGAGGTTGAACTCCTCAGCGATGACGTCGTGGCGGTCTTCTTCAATGCGGGCGACGATGAAGTCGACTTCGTCTTGCTCGAGGAACTTCTTTTGGGTCGCGCTGGGCTTGGCTGCTAGCTCGGGGAAGTCGACGATGAAGTACCATCCTACAATGCCGATCAAGACGGTGATGACTCCTTGCATGATGAAAATCCACCTCCTGAAAGTACGAAGTCAGTATATGTCTCACATGCACTTCGTATAGTTAGGACTTACCATCCTGAGAGACCAGGTCCGAAGCTGACGGGTGTGGTGGGTGCCTTCTTGGTGGGTCCATAGTGGGGACCAAGCCAGTATGCCGCTTGTACGCCCTTGCCGTTGAGAAGAGAGAAGAGGTAGCCGAGGATACCTGAGAAGGCAGACGAAAGCATACCAATGAGGAAGAAGACGGTGTTGCGCTTCTGGAGCTCAAATCGCTTGTACCAGCATGAGAGGAGGTATGCGGAGCCAGGGAAGAAACCAGCCTCGAAGATACCGAGGAGCAGACGGAGTGGGATGAGTGTGTGCCATTCCTTGACGAAACCGAAGCCAATCATGACTGCTCCCCAGATGATGACGATAGATGGCAGGAAGAGTCTTGGGCCAAGCTTCCTCAGCACAACAGTAGCTGGTGGCTGGAGTGCGACGTATGTGATGAAGAAGAGTAGCACGATGATGCTGTACCTCTCGCCAGTGAGCTTGAGATCGACACCCATGCCGGCGACCATGGCGACACCTAGGTTGGTTCTGTCCATGAGAGAGACACAGTACATGCAGCCAAGTGTGGGGATGAGACGAAGATCGACCTTGCGGACAATCTTCTTCTGCTGCTCGGGTGTGAATCGACTGATGGCGGCATTGCTGGCGGTTGTGTCGGACTCGATTCGTTCTAGGGTGGCGACGTTGCCCTTCTCTTCAGCGTAGGATGCCATGATAGTTGTTGGAGACTCTCGGAGTCCTCTGAGACCCGTCAAGGGAGTAAGATGTAAACCTTGATGAACGACGAAAAGATCAACAAGGAGTAAGGGAGAAGAGAAGAGGAGATCTGACTTGTGATGGAGAAGGATGAGAGAGAACCAAACCCACAACTGCAGGATACTCGACCTCATATACACATTGGCTTCCCCAGACTACTGATCTCGCCTTCCCCAGATTCACTGCGGCGTCGGCTCCACCGTACCCCAGACTCTCCAAAACTTAGCAATTTGCATTGGATACTGACAAGCTCTCTAAGCTATCTCGCCTACAACCTATCGAATTGACACTGGTACGGAGCCTCAAGCCCATAGCTCCGGAGACGATTCACCACAGCGGTTAGCAGTACTCATACCAAGGAGCTCCAAGCAGCATAGCATCCGCGATAGTGCTGCCTGGACCCGGCAGTCTGGCGGTCTTGACTCCGGTACAGCGCGCAGGCGCATGTCAAGGCGTTTCCGACAGTCACGCCCAGCCTATACCCCGCGTGAACAGCCATTGCGATGATGGAAATCCGGAGGTGGCTGCGACAAATGGGGTAGGTTTTGGTGGTTTGGGGGCTGGGCAAGCACTTAGCGGGGTGTCCGCTGTGCGCTACCACCACGTGGCGTGGGCCCAGACTCTCAAACCAAGGCCTTTTGCTAGACAACTTGCCGACAGCCATTGCCATCCAACATTGGCAGGGCATCTTCCGCTGGCTCATCGACTGATTATTGAGGTGTTGATGTACTACGAGCGGAAGCGTTCCACGATGCCTAGGTACATGTGAACACGATACCTTCTGGTCGAGCGGCGAAAGTAAGTGCGTGAGACTGTACTCCGTCTAGCTACACATACGCTGCCGCAGCACGTTGATGCAACCGTTCGTATAACTGGAACAGCAGACCTTCAGCTTCGCCACTGTGTTATCGTCGTCTGAACTCATGGGTTTTGCGCAAGATGCATCGTGATCTGATTATGTGTCTCACCGGCCCTTCTTCCGGTTCGTAGCTGTCATGTCTCCACGATTTGAGACCTTTAATGGCGGATATTGTAGGATGTTGTTTCGAAGTTTGTTGTACTAGCACAAGCTTTAATGGGATTTCCCGTTCGCATGGCGTCTTAGATCCTCCAAATGCCAAGGGTCTCAGCAGCCATATTGTTGTTTGCATTTTCGTGTTGATTGACGTGAGTCTTGCAAACAGCATCTACTGTCGTTACTCCAACGTGGAGTGTCGTCTGGTGATGGAATCTTTGTTTGTTGAACACTACGTCTTGCACAGCGGGTCGAAATCCGAAAAAGGCATCGATGCAAATGTTTCCCATTCAAGGTGTGGCGGTCATCGTATGGCTCTAGCCTGTCGCTACTGGAAGACGAACCAGTGCGCTTTTTCTAGCTGAGCTGGCGGGGTGCTGCCCGAAGCCGTACCGAGGCAGGACGAGTTTGCTTCTGACAATGGGCATCAGGATGAACAGGTGTGAAAAGTGAAATGCAGAAAGAAGATGTTGTCTGTGCAGGTCTATGTGGTTAGTTTACCGAAAGCTGGGGTCAGATCCGAGGGTGTGTTGCGGTTGCCGGCGTCGCTGATCAGTGATCACCATGTTCGTGCCGAGCCGCACCTGAGTCGTTCTTAGCTCACGTGACTCGGCAGCCCGAGTCAGTCAACTGGGTGACAGAAATCGCGACACCAAGCACCCCGCTTCCCATCTTGGTCTATGCTGAGGTGACGAAAATCTTGAGAAGCATATGGAAAGCTTCTTTTTGAGTCTGTATGATGCCATGTCTTCCGTTTCAGACACGTCTGAGCCTTCTCACGACGTTTCATGGGCCTTGGACAATGTGTGAGTCAGATACATGAGGTGTTCTTTTGAACGCCGCGTAAAGCCACAATTCCCATCATTGAACAAAACCTCTAAGGTGTGTCTTCTCGGACGCCACGATAGGTGACGTGGGTTGAACGAGGTAGTTAGTGAGACCAGTAATCAGCAGTGGGGATCCCATCCATGGATGGCTGCTGAGGCTGCCCGCATCACGGGATGACTGGGCCTACTCCCGTAGACCTGTACGAGGGTCTCCGTTCAGGCCTCAACGGACACTAAACACCTGGAGTATCTGGGGAGCAAGTGACGTCAGCTGGACAAGACCAGGACTGACGCCTGACCAGACAGGTGATCCCCCACGTGTACAGCAAAATTTGGACCAAATGCTGTTGAGCTGAGACATATTCCGACGAGACGCCCTCATCCGAAGTTCTCATTCGTAGGTCTTCATGGCAAAGCTCGGGATTGTTACTATTGCTTTTCGCTCCCCCGTCGCGTGGTACCTGTAGTTGATAGCGGAGGGTATGAATTTTCGCCCACAATAGCCGCTGGGTGGGTCTTTTGGGCATCCTAGATCCAAAAGTCCATGGCGTCAGCGCCAGAAGTGGGCCCGTAGGGCAGCGAGAGCCGCAAGACCAAGTGTTCGGGACCCAATTGGAGACACTTTGGGCAGCGAAGGATTCATTGCTGAGACGAAGTGACATGCCGCATGTGAGTCACACGTCCTGATGGAAACGTAGTCCCTAGAGAGGAATTGCTCGCGCGAACGAACTGAAGCTGGATAGCGCGGTGAAATGAAAGCGTTTGGAATGCCATTGTCGAATTTCGCTCGGGTTCCAACGAGATGGTGGATTTGTAGTGGGCTGAGCTTAGCGAGTTCCCACGCGTTCCTCCACCCAACCAGCGCTAGCCAAACGGCGGAGACGACAATGGTTAGGAAGGCACGACCACGATTCTGATACAACGAA